ACGAGGTCTGCTGCAGAGATGGGAAGGGCAGCTCGTGCCTTGGAAATACCCTTGTTGCTCTCCAGGTGGAGTTAGGAGTGGGTTCCTCGGGGTTCTGGGTCTGTTTCTGCTTTTCTTCCAATAATTCTGACACAAAAAAAGAAAAGGAGCTACTGTAATATGGCAACATGAAGTGGGTTGGATAGAGAAAGGGTCCTTAAAAATCGTAGAGCAGTGCTGATGGGTATCTGGAGGGTGGGAGGAGGGAGCTGAGCAACCGCGCTGGGCACAGACTGCAGCCCAGAGAGCTCCATCTGAACGTGAGGGAGAACTGTACTGTGAGAATGGCAGAGCCCCAGCACAGGGCCCAGAGTGTTGAAGGAGTTGTCTGCTCTGCAGAGATGTGAACTCGTTTGGATCCTTTCTGGTACAACTGCTGGAGGGAAATCCTTCTGGGGGGGTTGGACTGGGGTGGGACTCTGGAGGTCTCTTCCAGTCCCTACAGTTCTGTGGTTCTTTGCATGGCAGTGGCTCTGTGCACACTGAGGTCAGTGTGTGCCCCTCCTGCTGCACAGAGCCCTGTGTTGGGGGTTTCCTCTCATGGGTTCAGAGCAGGGAGGTTGGGGATGGAGCATTGCCTTGCCTGGCTTTCCTCCTGGGGCAGCATCCAAAAGGGTTTCCCCCACAGGAAATGGCTCAAACCCATCAGGCTTGGCCGGGGGTACGTCTGCCTCTAATTTCTGCACTGGAAAAAGAAATGCACCTTTCAGGAGTCCCCTTTCCAGTGCAGACCTAAGAGAAGCTCAGTCTGCTCACATCCTTTCCTCTGCGGTCCTCTGCAGCTCCCCGATGTGCTCTGACAGAGCTGTAAGCCCTGCAGTGAGCTGCGTCCTGCCGCTGCTTTGCCTCCCTTTAAAGCCTTTGCGTAGTTTTGTAAGTAAGCGGGCTGTGACCACTGCCTTGTCACTTCAGACACCCCTGCAGTTCAGTTTTTCAGAGCAACCCGATGATTCTGGGACCGAATCCAAATTTTTCATTGTATTGAAAGTGCTTGGAAGCTTTGGGAGAGCAGAGATCTCTGCTGCTCCGCTGTCACGTTTGGGAAAGGTTGAGTGCCGTAGGGTGAGAGCAGGGAGTGTTGGCTTCTGCCTGGAAAATGCTGTGCCTGCAGGTGCTGGAGGGCGGCTTATTTGCTTTGGCTGGGTGTCTTCAGAGCTTGAATGATGTTTCTCTGGCTGCAGTACGTGGCTCAGAAGGCCATGTGTGCAGCATAGCTGGACACCGAGTGTGGCACTTCATGGGAGGACTCAGTGCCACAGATGTGTGGGATCTTTGGTGCTGAGCTCAGTGCCAGGCTCTGGCTGTGGCAAATTATGGTTGTGCCACTCCTCCTGCTGCTGCTGCCTGGGTCTGGATGTGCTGCGGCTGGGACATGGGGTGGCAGAGTGGTTGAGGCTGAGGCTGCTGCACTCCGTCCATCCCACGGCCCCCAGCTGGGGTCAGAAATCTCCAAGAGCAGCCTGCAGCCCCTACCTGCTCCCTGAACCAGCTCCAGCCCCCTCTCCCTTCTCCCCCCCAGCACAGCAGTGCTTTTTCAGGAGCAGCTCCTGGGCTCCAGTCTGTGCCCGTTGCCTCTTGTGCTTGTCCTGGTGCTGCTGAGCGCAGCCTGACTCTGTCCTCCCTGTGGGACATATCACCACGGGTGGGATCCCCCCGAGCCTCCCTGCCCCAATCCAAACGGCCCCTCAGCCTCAAAGCTGCTCCAGACCCTCGGTCACTATAGTGGCCTTCCACTGGGCTCTCCCCAGTGCACCCAGCTCCCTCCCGCACTGGTCACAGCACTGAGCAGAGGGGCAGCATCCCCTCTCTTGATCTGCTGGCGATGTTCTGTTGCAACCAAGACCATCATCAGCACCGTTTGCCCAAGGGCCCATCTCTGCTTCATGTCCCATTTGGGCCCCCTGGGGCTCAAACTCATCACCGTGCTGCAGGCAGCAACAGAGCTGATTAACAGCGGGGCTGAACTGGAGCTAACGAACCTCGTGTGGCAGCTGCATCCCTGTGTGTGGTGTGACTGTACGCAGGTGTAATCGGGAGCAAAGAGCAGCGGGCCCCAACTCTATGCACTTTCTGAGCAAGTATAACGATAAACACATCTTAGAAACCCCTGAAGAGGTTAGCAATAGGCAGTGACACCCCAATAACTGTGGGCTGTGTGTCCAGCAAGGTGGTGGATGGAGCTCAGGGAGCATTCCCAAGCTGCTCCATCCGGAGGCAACAGACCACGTGCGGGAGGGCAAAACGTGTGAGCCAAACTCTTGGGAATGGACAGGAGGGTTTGCTGCTGTGCCCGAGGAACGTGGAGAGCGTCAGGGAGCTGTGAGGGGGAGAAGGGAAGCAGGCAGATGAGAGCAGACAGATCCACGGGGCTGCCAGAGCTCTGGGTGTGTTTCTGGTGGAGCTCTGGGGGCTGTGGCTGCAGGACTGCTCTGCCCAAGGGCTCCGGCCCCAGCGATGCAGCTGCTGAGCTGCTGTATCCCCTGCGTGGAAGCCGAGGTCTGGGGATGCTGTGGGGCCAGCGCTGAGCTGATGCTCTATGGGGCTCTGGGCTTAAGGTTTTCTTGCTCCAACCACACAAGTAATGGCTCTGTGAAGGGAGGAATCCTTCAGCAGATTAACACTTCAGCCTGGCTTTCAGCTGCCAGGGTTCACCCCAGGGTGGAAGAGCGGAGCCACGCAGCTCCAGGGCTGCCAAGAGGAAAGCACCATTTGTCACAGCACTGGGAGTCATCAGGAGGAAATGGAATCCCACAGGGACAGCCCAATATTGACGCAGCCCTGAGAGTGAGGGAGGCAGAGAGTGTGGGGCTGACTGGCACTGCAGGGTCCTTCAGGAGCCGGGGCAGCTCCACAGCTCTCCTGATCAATGCTGGCTCACAGCCTCATTACTCTCTCTGCTTTAAATCCAGGCATGGATTTCTGGCCTCCCACCTTTCTTAATGCATCCCCTTGGAGTGAGCCCCACATCTCTGTATCTGACTGTGTCAGGATGAGCATTTATCACCAGCAGACCTCTCTGCAGCTCTCAAACCCTTCTGCCTGGGGCAGTTCCGTGCTGGGCTCTGCTCCCCATCCCTATGTGCTTGCAGTGGCAGCCCTGGGCTGCACGTCCCCATCCCCACAGTGCTGCCACGGAGCTCCTGCTGGGGACAGTGGAACCTTTCCCCTTCCTACTGGCAGAGCGCAGGCGGGGAGCTCTGACGTCTTCTGTAGAGCTGCGGGGAGGCAGCAGGTTGTGCCTCTCATAGAACCATAGAATGGCCTGGGTTGCAAAGGAGCACAATGCTCATCAGTTCCATCCAACCCCTGCTGTGTGCAGGTCGCCAACCAGCAGCCCAGGCTGCCCAGAGCCACATCCAGCCTGGCCTTGGATGCCTGCAGGGATGGGGCATCCACAGCCTCGTTGGGCAACCTGTTCCAGTGCCTCACCACCTCTGCATGAAAAACTTCCTCCTCATATCCAACCTAAACCTCCCCTGTCTCAGTTTCAAACCATTCTCCCTTGTCCTATTGTGTATCAGTCTGCCTCCCACTGACCTTCGATTTGGGGAGAACAGAGGATCCCTCGCTGGGCCATTGATGTGTTTTGCTGAAGAGGAGATGCAGCGTTTGGGGCAGTGCTGGGGCTGCAAAGCTCTGAGCAGGGTTTCTCTTTGTGGATGTGTACAGGGAGAGGTGGCAGCTTTGGTGGCACCAATTCATCTGGCTGCAGACTGGAAGAGCTCTGGGACAACTGAGCCTTCCTCAGTTCTGTCTCACACTGTGGAAGGGCTGTGGTTCCTGAGGGTATTTCCTTTTTCCAGTGGTGCTGAGGTATAACCACAGTCCTGACTGCCCTTCCATCTGTGCGTTTGCCTCTGCAGCTCAGCACGTGATGCATTTATTGTAGAACCACAGCATGCTTGGGTTGGAAGGGTCCTTAGGGATCATAGAACCATGGGTTGGGTTGGGTTGAGTAGGGTTGGGATGGTCCTTAAAGATCACAGAGCTATAGGATGGATTGGGTTGGGTTAGAAGGGTCTTGAAAGGTCATAGGACCATGGAATGGTTGGGCTGGGGTAAGGTTGGAAGGGCCCTTAAAGATCATAGAGCTGTGGGATGGGTTGGGTTGGGTTGGAAGGGTCTTGAAAAGTCATAGAACCATGGAATGGTTGGGTTGGAAGGGTCCTTAAGAATCATAGAGCCATGGAATTGTTGGACTGGAAGGGCCCTTAAAGATCATAGAGCCATAGAACAACAAAATGATTGGGTTGGAAGGGTCCTTAAAAGTCATAGAACCATACAATGGTTGGGTTGGAAGGACCCCCCAGCCCCACCTCTGCCATGGGCTGGCTGCCCCCCAGCTCAGGCTGCCCAGGACCCACCCACAGCCTCGGGCACCTCAGGGATGGGGGCACCCACAGCTCCGGGCAGCAGTGCTGGGGCTGCACCGCCTCTGGGTGAAGGATTTCCCCACATCTGACCCCAATCTGCCCTCTGTTGGGTTCAACCCATTCCCCTGTGTTGAACTGCTCTCTGCCCATGCTCTTCTTTTTATCAGCCGTGATTCAGTTGGTCTCTGGGCTGTACAAACGCACTGCTGCCTCATCCAGCTTTCCTCCACAGGACCCTCATGTCCTTCCCTCAGGACTGCTCTCCATCAGCTCCCACTCTGTGCCCAAATCTGGGGTTTTCTTGACCCAGCATCACCCATTTGGCCCTATTGAACCTCCCTGCGTTCCCATGAGCCCCCTCCTCACCTCCCCAGGCCCCTCTGGACGCCATCCTTCCCTTCTATTGAATCAAGCACAGCGCTCTGCTTGGGGCTCACCGGCAAACTGCAGGAGCACCAATATTGCCACCGACCGTGTCCCCCAGTGCCACACCTCTGGGAACGGTGACACCCCCACGTCCCTGGGCAGCATCCCAGCCGGATGGGATGTGGCTCTGTGCCTCCTTCCCCAAGCTGTGGCCGTGCCCTGGCGCTGGGGGAGCATTTGGGGTTTATTTTGTTGGATTTGGCAGCGGGTCCGTCCTGCTTGCTGCCCTCTTGTGGAACGATCCCAGCTGCAGGGATCCGGGAGCAAAGCGGGGGGAGCAGAGAGGACTGTGGTGTGCCTGGAGCAAATGGAACATTGCTGCACTCCTCCCGAGCCCCTCTGTCCACTTGAGATGGACTTTTGGGGTAAAATAGCGAGGGTTTGTCGTTCCCCAGGTGTCAGCTGTAGCACAGTGCTGGGAATGGAGTGCTCCTTCCAGGGCTCCAGGCCACTTTTGTGCTTTTGTGCCGTACTCAGGGGGGGGTCCTTCTGTGCCCACCCCGACGGCAGAGTGGGGCAGAGCTGTTGGGCACAGCTCTGTGCCGGGGGGCCCCCACGGAACCGCAGCGCATCGTGGTGAAGGGAGAGAGGGGGAAAGAGAGAGGGAGAGATGGAAACTAGCGGCCAAAGCCACTGCAGCGCCAAACGCCTGGAAAAAAACTTATCTCCAATCTCCCTTTTTATTTTTTATTTTTTTTTTTAAATTTTTTAATAAAGCCCTTTGTTTTTGCAGTAATCTCATCCTCTTGCCGGGCCGGGATTTTCCAGGCGCTCTCCCACCCCTCTCCCCGCGCACAGCAGAAGGTGATCGCACACTGCGCGGACTTTACGGCTCCCACGAGGGACGTTGCTGGGGCTGCTTTTGCGATTATTACACCGAATCCTCCCGTAAACCCGATCTCACCAGGGTCCCCGTCCCCCCCAGCCCCCCGCCCCGTCGATGGGGGAGCGAATCTCTTTTCCAGGGAAGGAGCTGCCGGCTCCTCGCACCCACGCGGCGCTCAGGGCCGTCCCAGCGCTGCAGGGAAAGCTTCTCCGTGCCCTGGCCCCGAGCTCCGTGCTGCTGCCGGAGGTGTTCTGCCCAGTGCGGGTGCTGGAGGGGAGAAGAAATGGAGAAGGGAAAGGAAATGGAGAAAAATGGAGGATGGAAAAGAAGTGGAGTGCGCTCGGGCAGAGCAGCTGCTCGCAGTGCCCGGGGCGAGGTTGGTTTCATGCTGCCCCATTGATGCCCTCAGTCCATTGAGGCCTCTTTGTGACTTTGGGCTGGCAGCTGAGATCACTCTGTGCTTCTCTGATCCCCAGTGCGTTGTGCACCCGTCTCCAGCGCTCTGAGCTAGAGCCTTGGCAGAGCTCATCTGCAGGAAGGGACATTTGCTTGGCGCAGGGCAAGGCGGCCCTTGTGCTGGTCCAGCGACCCCTGCACTTGTGCTGCCAGGTGGGGAAGGTTCTGCTGGCTGTGTGTACCTGGGATCATAGAATCATCGTAGAATCATGGAATGGTTTGGGTTGGAAGGGACCTTTCAGACCATCTATTTCCACCCACCCCTGCTGTAGGCAGGGACACCTCCCACCAGACCAGGTTGCTCACAGTCCCATCCAGCCTGGCCTTGAACACCTCCATGGTGGGAGCATCCACGGCCTCTGAGCAACCTGCTCCAGTATCTCACCACCCGCACAGTGTGGAGTTTCTTCCTAAGAAGATCTATTCTAAGCTATGGAGAGCAGTTGGAGCAGTGCAGCGTAGGGCTGGTGGGCGCCGGGTGGAGCTCAGGGGCAGCACATCCCACACCGGGCTCAGAACTAACCTGAGTGGGGTTAAGTTCACAGGAGCAGCTCAGGAGAGGGGGACTGGGGGGCTGCAGGTGTCCACGACCACAGCGACCTCACGTTGGGCTGATGGGCAGAGGCACAGTGAGAGCGTGCCAACAGGGATGGGAGTGGCACCTCAGCTGCCATTCGTGCGCTGGGTCCATTTGAGGACCTGGTTCGGTGCAGGGACAGAGGGCACAAGGGCTGAGCTGGCAGGGAGAGGCAGCCAGGCTGTTGTCCTGCCCAGGGACAGGGGGCAGAGCAGGAGGGGGATCCCTGGATGGAGGTGAGGAAGGAGCTCTTGTCCTGGTGGACTTCTGGGACGGGACCCAGGCAGTGGTGAGGTCTCCATCCAGGGAGAAATGGGAGCATGACTGCGTGACGAGACACAGTGCTCAGCACTCCGATGGAGCCTGGAAGCTGGCTTTCCTGGAGCAGAGACCTCCAGAAACCCTTCCCAGCATGTTTTTCCAGTCTGCTTTGCAGAGCTTCCATGCACTCGTACCTACCAGCCCCTCTCAGCACCTCGCCTTGGCTGTACGCACACCTTGCAGGGCTTTATTCCGTGCTCTTCCCAAAATTCAGGGCTGTTGCCCCCAGGTTCATCGGGTGGCACTGAGCTCGTGGGAGCAGAGGGGCTCTGCAGAGCTCTGAGATCTGCTCTGGGCTGGCCGGGATGGGGAAGCAGCCGAGACAGGAAAGGCTGTGAGCACAGTGAGTGGGAATGCAGCGCTGCGAGCTGAGCAGCTGTCAGAGCGCGGCTCGGCAGCCCATCCTCAGACGGGGGCTGATGGACTTTCTGTCTTCGTGGTCCCAGATGAGCAGAAGTGCGCGGTGCTTAATGAGCCCTTTCTTTCCTTCCTTCCTTCCCTGTAATGCGCCGTCCCCGAGGAGCTGTGAGCGCTGCGCTATGCGGCGCGAGCCCAAAAGCACAAAGGTTCACGTGGCCGGCCCTTGCTAAGCTGTTTTCTTCTCTTTCAGGTCAAAGGGGCTCCCAGGAAGAGCAAAGCCCTGGGGGCTGATCCCCCTCCAAAGGACAGCGAGGGTCTGAGCGTTCCGGATGAGTACGAGGAGGACAGCTCGGATGAGGAGGTAGGACTGCCTGCCAACGTGATATATGTGGATACAACATAGGGCTGGTGGATTTCTTGCTGCATCGCCTTCTGTGCAACCTGGAGGGAGAGATGTTGGTCAAAGAGCGTTGGGTGTGATGGGGGGCTGCCCACCCTGCAGCTCGCTGCTGGCACCCAGCGGGGCCGGGGGGGCTGGTGGTGGAGCGCAGCGCTCGCGGTGCCTGGCGCGGGAGGTTGGAAACTGCTTGTGCAAGAGGCAGCAGGATCCGGGCCACAGAATGCTCCTTGGCTTGGCTTGTTCCAGACCAACTTCATTGCCTTTCTTAATCGTCTGCTAAATCAATTAACGTGATTGGCGCAAATCAGCTGCTCCTGCAGAGCCCTGGGGTCGGGATGGGGTGAGCGCCAAGTGCCGCGGGGGCGTTCGGTCTGGCCCTATTGCCGGGCTCTGGGTTCACTGGAAGGTGCTGAGAGGGGTGTGTGGGGCGGCCTGTGGGGCACTGGTGAGGTTGAAGGGCATGGCGTGCTATACTGGGGTATGATGTAGTATACTGGGACATGGCGTGCTATATTGGGGCATGGCGTGCTATACTGGGACATGGCGTGCTATATTGGGTCGTGGGGTAGTATATTGGAACATGGTATGTTATACTGGGGCATGGTGTGGTATATAGAGTCATTTTGGTGTCTCCAAACCCCATTTTGAGGTCATATGGCCCTATTTTGAGGGATTGTGGCTCCATTTTGAGAACTCAAACCCCATTGGCAAGAGTTAGACTCAATGATCCAAATGGGTCCCTTCCGGGTTGGAATATATTCTTTGATTCTGTAGTGTGGTATATCAGTGCACGGCGTGGTATGCTGGGACACTTTGAGGGCTCAAAACCGCATTTTGAGGTCATATGGCCCTATTTTGAGGGGTCATGGCCCAACTTTGAGTATCCCTAGCCCATTTACCAGGAGTTTGACTCTGATTCTTACGGGTCCCTGCCAAGTTGGGATATATTCTGTAATTGTGTGGTGTGGTATATCAGGGCATGGTATGGCATATCAAGGCGTAGCATGGTATATTGGGGCATGGTGTAGTATATGAGGGCATTTTGAGGGCTCAAAACCCCATTCTGAACGGCTTTTGGCCCTATTTTGAGGGATCATGGGCCCATTTTGAGAACTCTTAGGCATTGCCATGTGTTGGACTTGACGATTCTAACAGGTCTCTTCCGACTTGGGATATATTCTCTGATTCTGAGATGTGGTATATTGAGGCACAGTGTGTTATATTGGAAGTTTCAAGAGCTTAAAACCTCATTTTGAGATCTTATGGCCCTATTTTGAGGGATCACAGCCCCATCTTCAGAACTCCTAGTGCTATTGCCAGGAGTCAGACTCAGTGGTCCTATGGGTCCCTTCCAAGTTGGGATATATTCTCTGATTCTGTGATGTGGTATGTCAGAGCATGGCATGGTATATTGCAGAAAGGCAGTGATATATTGGGTCATGGTGTTGTATATCAGGGCATGACATTCTGAGGGCTGAAAACTCCATCTTGAGGTCTTATTGCCCTATTTTGAGGGCTCAGGGGCCCATTTTGAGTATTCCTAACCCAATTGCTAGGAGTTGGACTTGATCCTTATGGATCCCTTCCAAGTTGGGATATATTCTCTGGTTCTGTGGTGTGGTATATCAGGGCATGGCATGGTATATCAAAGCATGGGGTGGTATGTTGCAGAATGGCGTGGTATATTGTGGAATGGCATGGTATATCAAAGCATGGGATGGTATACTGCAGAATGGTGTGGTGTATCATGGAACGGCGTGGTATATCAAAGCATGGGGTGGTATATTACAGAATGGTGTGGTATATTGTGGAATGGCGTGGTATATCAAGGCACAGTGTGGTATATCGGGGCATTGAGTGCCAGCACAGCAGCTCCTCGTCCCTACAGCCAGTGAAGGGCTTCAGCCCTGGCTTAAGAGACACGAGGGGGGCCTGGGAGCACACCGTGCCCCGGGGCTGGACGCTGGAGGCCCACCTGGGTTGGCGCTGGAGCTGCCGGCAGCCCCCGGGTCTGGAATAGAGATTTAGAGAGAGGGGAAATATATGACTATAGAAAACATACACTTGTGTAATGTCTCCAGCATAACCCAGGAAAAAAACCCTTTCATGCAGGAATCCGAGGTCTCCCCCTCCCCAGCTGGTCCCGGTGCAGGGCCCCCGTGGGGGGAGCGCTGATTCAGAACCTGTTGACATCAGAGCAGCTTCCAGTGGCTTTGTTCCTGTTCCCCGCTCCCAGCCCCCTGCCCTCTGCGATTGTATTTATCTCTCCTCCAGAAGATCTCTGGTGCTGCTGCTGCTTCCTGCGGCCGCTTTGTGCTCGTCGCCCCACGCTGCCCCGGCTTCGTCCCTCCGTGCTGCAGGAGGGGCTGTTATCTTCCATTTCTCCTTATCTCTTCTTCCTTGAGATCCCCAGCTTCTGTTCCGTAGCGTCCTTCTAATTAATGCCTGAACTCATCCTTATTAATGAGTGGCTCATCCTCATCAAAGGACGCGGTGCTCTCGAGAGTGAAACTGGAGGTGCCTGCAGCCCCGAGGACCCTGCGGATGTGGCTCAGCCCATCCCACCTGCAGGCACTGGGAGCAAACGATGGGATGCACTGGGGGGCTCCCATCCCAGACCCACCCCTGTGCAGCCCTCGGGCAAAGCATGGCAAGCTGTGTCGGTGCACAGCACCGTCGGTCCCTGCAGCTGCTCTGGGGACAGCGGGGTGTCCCTCCCCGTTGTGCCCCCCCGCAGAGCTGCAGGAGTGGCGTCCCCATCCATCACCCCAGCATCCCGGGATGGCACACACCAAACCGAGGTAGGGGCGGCCCCCGGTGCCTCGTGGCTGCGCCTTGTCACCTGCAGGTGGCTGCCCTACTCCGGGCGATGCCACGACTCCGGGCGATGCCACGGCGCTGCGCTCTCCCCGTGGGGCTGCCGCCATCCGACCCGTCGCTGTGCCCACAGCCGACCCCACAAGCAGCACGGGTGGGAAAACATCCCACGGTGCCCCCGGGGCGCCCGGAGCCGTGCCGCTGTCACTCAGCGCCTGCGCGGGGGCTCCGAGCTCCTTAATAAAGAGTAATGGCCCCGCGCTGCCCCGCGCTGCTGCTCGCTTGGCAGCTCCTCCTGGCCGCGTGCCCGGCCGCTGTGCCGTGAGCTCCGAGCAGAGACACAACAAAACCCCGGCGGTTTCCTGGCCGGGTGCGCAGCCCGCGGTGCGTGCGGGGCTCCCGGTGGCACAGCAGTGCACACCAGCAGTGCACACCAGCAGTGCACACCAGCAGTGCGTGTGCCCGCGGTGCCGGCGCTCCCCCCGGCGCTCGGCACGGAGATGAATGGCCGCGAGCTGCCGCGGCTGTCAGGGCCTCGCTGGGAGGAAGCAGTTTGGGGCTTTTGTTTGGTTCTGTTTCCTCCCACAATGACTATTCCATATGTCAGTGGATAATGAATGAAGGAGCGCTGAGTGCTCCTCGGAGCGCGGCGGCCGTTCCAAGCCCACTTCCCTCCTCCGCAGCGCAGCTGAGCCGGGCGGGGGGCGAGCGCTGGCCGGGCGCAGGGAGCTCTTCTTTCAGTAGCTGATTAGCCAAGAGAGAAAAGTGCTGCAGAATGTGCTGCTGGCAGACGGCTCCTTCACTCATCACTCCGTGTGTGTGTGTGTGTGTGTGCGCGCGGCCCTGCGTGCGCTTCCTGACCTGCCTGGCTCTGCCTGATCTCCGTGCTCCCCCGCGAGCGTGCCTGGCCAGCGAGCGTGCGCTCAGACCCTGGAGCGGTGAGGGAGGAGTGGGCAGTGCCATGCTGGAGCTCACGGGCAGTCAGTGTTGTGCCAGAGCTCGTGGGCAGTGCTGTACCGGAGCTTGTGGGCTGTGCTGTGCCAAAGCTCTGGAGATGGGCGAGGAGGGGCCCTGTGGGTAGTGCTGTGCTGTGCTGGAGTTTGCAAGCAGTGCTGTGCTGTGCCAAAGCTCTGGAGATGGACGAGGAGGGGCCCTGTGAGCAGCACCATGCTGTGCCAAAACTCCGGAGCCATGCAAGGAGAGATTTAGTGTGTGGCTGTGCTGTACAGAGGCTCGTGGGCAATGCCATGTTCTGCTGAAGCTCCATAGCCAAACAAGGAGAGACTCAATGGTCAGTGCCGTGCCAAAGCTCACAGGCAGCCCCAGGGTGGCACTGGGGGATCCTCCCAATTCCCAAACCAGCTCTGCTGCTCAATTCCACACTTTTTACGCTCAACTTTTTTTCCAAGGGGGAAGTGCCTCTCAGTGTTGCTGTGTCCCTTCCAAAAAGCTCTGCTTCCCATTGCTGGGAGCACCGCACACTGCTGTTGGGTTTTGCACTGGGGAGGGACCATGGCACGGAGCTTTGGGTGCTTGCCTGCACTGAAGGATGTGGCTCAAGGCTGCTCGGTGCCTCCTGTCCCCTCGAGCACAAACAATTCCTGGGAAGGCATGAGCTGCCACATACGACATCAGGAAGGAGCTGAAAGATGGACGCGGGGAGGAAAGCTCTGCATTGCAGCTCCAGCCCACCACTGAGGTCCTCCAGCTGCAGTGCCATGCCCCATTTCCACAATTCCGTTTTGGAACGGCGGAGGGAGAGCGAAAGGAGCTGCGGAGATGGATGGAGGGGATAATTGGAGGCCTGGGGGGAGCGTGCAGACGAGGAGATGTGAGAAGAGGAGATTTGTGTCGGCTGGAGGCGAAGTGGAGTCGGGAGGACACTAACAGGATGCAGGAGGAAGCACAGGGATATTTGACAAGATGAAACGGCGTCAGGTTTAAGTGAAAATGAAATGGGAGGAGAGGGACGCGCTCGCTGTGCGGCCGTATTGTCTTACACGGGGCAGTGCATCACAGCACCATGAGATGTGGTGCCAGAGGCTGCGTAGACGTCCAGGTCTGCAGGCAGTGATGCCAATAACGGGGACATCAGGAGCTGTGGTGCTTCAGGCTGAGATCGATGCTATGGGACCTCAGGGATC